AAAAAAAAAAAAAAACAAAAAAAAAAACGAAAAAAAGTACGTTATGCAGCAAAATAAACTGAACAACTTGTGCCTCAGGGTCACATCGAAATTCTTCATCAAATTGAGAAAAAAAATAAAATTAATTAATATTATTTTTTTTAATGTTTTTGGCCCGGCCGGGCAAATGACCCCGGGCCACTCTGGTAGCCTAGACGAGAAGTGCAAGTGGGTCGGTATGACACACGGGGGTGGGGGCAGCCGCCGCTCAACCTACATCCACGTGGGCGGCCTTGTACGGAAGAAGATTAAAAATGAATTAAGTTTTTTTCTTGTTTCTGTTTTTCGCTTTGGCGCTCTGATATCATGTGACAATATATATAATATAAAATCGTTGAGATCAGTCTCGGATTCGGGTCCCGACTTGCTCCTCACCGGCATGCCGCGGTTCCGACTTCCCCCCCCTCCCTCGCCGCCCCCGTCTTTGTGGTTTGTTTTTCCGTTGTCTTTTTTTCTTCCTTGGGTCTTTCTTTTTCTGTTTGCCTGCTTCTGCTTCTTCTTCCTCTTTCTCGGCGTCCTACTCTTTGGGGTTCTTCTCTCCCCCGTGCTCAGATCCCGACTGTAGTCGCGTCAATCAGGTCCCGGCATCCCGAAGCGCTAGCCACGTGGAACCCTTCTTTTTCTCTTCATCCTTCTCTGCCCCCACTCAGATCCTGCCTGTAGCGTCGTTGCTTCAGAGGGGGTCCCCCTCTATGACGATTAATAAACCTTGTGGATGATGAATGATTAATAACCCCCCTCTATGATGATAAATAAACCCTCTCTATGGTGATAAATAAACCCTCTCTATGATGATAAATAAACCCCTTCTATCATGATAAATATACCCACTCTATGACACGGAGAAGGGCAGTTGTGGTCCCCCTGTTTTCACTTTTTTTTTTTATTCCTTGTGGTCCCTGTTTTCACTTTTTTTTTTTTTTCCGTCGTAAGTGCGAATTTTTTGAGCATGGTTGTGGCTGAGAAGATTCTTGGACGGCACTCAGAGCATACTCGCACTAGGGCTTTTTCGACCGGGCTCTGGACGTATATGCGATCAGATGCAGCCAGATCAAGGTGGAACTCCGGTCAGGTTCGTCGAGGAAAGTCCTCGTATGTGAGTATGCCCTCATTTGAATTTGAATTTGAATTTGCGTACCATTTGGAATTGCTTTTCGCAAATTCAAATTCAAATTCAAATTCGAATGCGAAATTCAAATTCAAATTCAAATTCGAAATGCAAATTCAAATTCAAATTCTTATTTTTCTCCCCTGACGTCGCCCACTCCGCTGTCCTGCGAAAGTGAAATCCCACGGTAATTGAATTGTAGGATTTAAGAACAAAAAAAAATTAAAAATAAAAAATAAATCCGCAGAACTCGCGAGCTCGACGAACGTTCGACGAATGCCCAACGGAGTCTCTCTCCGAGAGGTCTATCAGGCAAGAAGAAGAGAAAAAACGTTGACGTCAGCCTCCATCGCCGTGGATCTGGCCGCCGGGATCGTCGGCATGATGAGGAGAGACTGTCTAATTGTTTTCCTCCGTCCGCTGCTCCTTTCCCTCCTCCCCTTCCCCCTCCACCTCTCCTTCTCCCGCTCCTACTCCGCCGTCTCCCCTCCCCCTCCGTCCTCCGTCCTCCTCCTCCCCTCCCTTATCCACTCCTTGTCACCCCTCCTTGTCATATTCAGCTCTTCCTCCTCACGGTGATCTTGCGCCACCCCTGCTTGGCTACCCCACCCCTGCCATCTTTTCGCCGCCCCTCCTCGTCCTCCTCCTCGTCCTCCTCCTCCTCCTCCTCTACCTCATCCTCTACCTCCTCCTCTCTCCCCTTTTTCCCCCTCCTCCTCCACCTTCCACCCCTTCTTTTCTCCTCCTTGTCCTCCTCGTCCTCT